GATTCGCAGTCGCAGGGCCTGCCCGGTATCTCTGAACAATTTAAGAACTTGTTATCTAAACTTTCTCTTCTCATTCTAAGATTGGATATTTTTCCTTTTGTTGTTGAAATACCCTTTTGGATATTTTTATGAATTATTTAAGACATTTGGAGATATTTCCTTTCTCGAGAGATATATTTCTTCTTCTTGTTCTCTGCATTCGGGCCTAGTTTGATTCTCTTGTTCTCTGTACTGCTACTAACATTGAACTACTAAGAGCTTTACATAGGATCAATTAGAGATTACAGAGTTTGCTCAATAACATTCAAACTTTAGAAAGATCTTAGTCATTTCTTTGTCGTTGAACAGATCCACTGCGTTTGTTTCTCACCACCTTCTGCATCTATATGCATGAAATTGATTCAAATCTTAGCTGTGCTTGCTTATGTAACTAATAATGACAGTTGCAAACACAAACCAAATACTCCATTCTCTCAATTTGGTTGACTCTCTCAATGCAAGAGTTTGGAGTTAAATGTGAAAAGCATTTCCCTACGTCCACCTTGAAGGTCGCGGAGACAGTTTTAGGATTTCTCCTCCTACATTGTAATCTGCAAGTGACTTGTCGTTCTTAAAAACCCCAGCTTTTCCATTTAACTTGTGTCTGTTTGTTGGCATTTGTAACACCCTAGCTAATATCTCCTTCAAACTGGCCACGCTTTCCGATAAGGATTTCACTGCCATCTCAAGGACTTGCCCTCCATCCATTGTTGGAATGGAAACTTTGATCATTACCGGAGGAGCAAGAAACCGATCTTCTCGAACACGACCTGACTCATCAAACTTTTGTCTCTTTGCCTCTGGTTCTTCAGGACAACAAGACATTCCAGGCATTTGTGTTAGTCGCACAAGCATGCTACAATGCTTTTGTGTTGGCTGGTCCGCCACCACCATGATAGCAGAATAGTTATCATCCTCCATCTGAGCAAAACAGTCAACACCCTCCACGAAAGCATACAAATCAACCACAGCCTCCTCCCCCACAAAATCATTCAAATCAACCATTCCCTCCTCTAGCTTCTCCCATTGAAGACAGTGGAAATAACCCTCAAGAACGGAGACCGTATAATTAAGCATCATAGGAAGGCTCTAATATATTGGACACCGCATCAACAACAACGTCATAAACATGGAACCTTCTATCAGTTGCCACCATAAACTTAAACAACTGAAACTGAGGTTTATCAACCACTTTCTTCATCAAATCCCGACAAAAAAGCATCCCATACCGCACCACAAACCCAGCTGTGAGCTTAATAATGACAAGCTCCATGGGTGTGACCAAGTTAAGGCATATAGACGGAACAAACAAGCCAGGTCTTACAGTTGGCTTCCTTAAGGGAGGAGGCTCAAGATCATGAGTAGCTGGAGCTTCAGGTACATCATCTTGATTCTGAGCACGGTGCACAAGAACATCACTGTCTTGAGAGCTTTTTACGTTCAGATTTTTTTTGTTTTATTTGGGGAAGTGTTTTAAAATTTCTGCTTTTCTTTAATTTGATCTTTACTTTATTTGTAACAAATGTAAGTGATTTCTTTAGTGATAGTTCTCTTCTTTGCCACTAAGATCAACCACTTGTATGGTGAAAAGTGTAGATTGTTCTTTTTTTTTTTCCGACTGCATTTTCATTGATTTCAAATCAAGTTTACAAAGTGTAGATTGTTCTTTTTTTGTGTGTATATGGATAAAAAAACTCTTTAGATTCCCTCAAAAACATAATTAAAAGCAAACGAATAATAAGATTATACAGCCAAAAGTTGAATAAATTTGAAAAAAGTTGGCTTTCACATCCAACAATTTGAAACGCTAAATCGCGAAACTCCAAACGTCATTTTACAGATGTAAACGTTTTTTTTTGTTTAGTACCCGTCTTAAAGTCTTAAACCATTCGTTTCAACTTTCAACCGTTTTATTTCATCGGTCCTTTTAATTGGTTTAGCTCATGTCATCTTCACCTCACAAATTAAATGGCCCAATGGACGCAAAAAGCTATTTACATGGCCCAATGTAACCAACCGCGTCGCTTTGTTAACAACCGCATGTTTATCGCTATTTTACAACCGCAAATTTTGGCAGTAAGATAGCGTTTTCTCTTATTCTTATCGTCACACATCCATAAGAAAAAAAACGAGACGCTTGAAATAGCTCCCATCTCCGGCAAAGTTTCCGGCGATATTAAAAGCTGTGAATGGCCGCTCTCTCCTCCGCAGCTTCTCTCATACCCTTCTCTTGTAAGTCATCGTTCTCCCTAATCCAGTCTGGGTTTATTTTATTCTGCTCCATTCTTGTCTCTCTGTTTTGTTTCCAATCCGTTGAATGGCAATTCGAAAAGTTAAAAAGCTTGATTTGAGTAATCTCTGGGTATGCAAAAAGACTTTATCTTTTTGAGATGGGCGTTTCGATTTGTTGACTTCGGTTTGAAAATTCTACTCTTTGTTTGATTCCGATGAAAGAACAATGCTCTGCTTTCATCTTATTCATGGTGAAATCTGCAAGTGATGCTAATGATGAATGTTGGAACATTTTCAGATGGGGCAAAGAGATTGAGTAGCTACAAGAGCTTCTGGATTCAGTCTCTCTTCTCTTAAGGAATTCATCGAGAAACGCTCCTATGTTATATGTTACGAATGCGATTGCAAACAACGGTGGCTACACTGGGATTACTGAGAATGAAACAGCTCCTAGGACTTACACATGGCCTGATAACAATGTTTTATAACTCTTTAGAACTATGTATGAGATCTCTAAGTTTCCATGGCGGATTCCCTAACTTAATGAATGTAAGCTTTCTGTTTACAGAGGCCGAGGGTGTGCATTTTAGGTGGCGGGTTTGGAGGATTTTACACGGCTTTGAGATTAGAATCGCTTGTGTGGCCTGACGACAAGAAACCTCAGGTGATTTCTTTGATTGTATCGATTAGCTTCTAGTTAAAGCAATCTGTTGCAAAGGACTCATGTCTTGAATACATTTTAAACGCTCTAATATTGATCAGGTGGTTTTGGTTGACCAATCCGAACGCTTTGTGTTCAAGCCGATGCTGTATGAACTACTCTCTGGAGGTATAGTTAGTTTTTTTGTTTCTCTCGATTAATCTTTGCTACTGTTGTATAGTTAGATTCAATTGCTATACTACAGAGCAATCTAACCAAGGTATTGTCTGGTTCTTGATTTCTGTTCGTCAAAACGGTGCCGTATGAAAGACAAACGTATAACTTAAGATTTTGGAGTGGAATGTGTGTTCGACAAGTAAAACAGTATCAAAATTCATGGAAAATTGATACTGTTATGTCTGTTTTGCACCCATTTCACCTTACTTCGCACCTTATTCAAACCATAGAATAATAAAATATAATTCCATTACTTTTTCGGTTANGGTAGATCCTAAATCCGCAACTAAGTATTTGATAAATGAAAAAGAGAAATCTAGGTCAAAATCCTCGATTGGAATTAACAAAATAGA